AAAAAAAAAAAAAAAAAAAAAAAAAAAAAAAGAAAAAGTAGAACAAAAACGAAGTAAGCCGGTAAAGCACTATCAACCAAATCTCAAAACTGTTTTCGACAACAGCTTCAAGCTGCTTCCAATAGCAGCGATCGATAAATAGGCTTAAAATCCAGCAGACCAGCACATGACATTGATTACTGAAGGAGCACTATTTGCAACAACTGGAGACCTGCAACAACCTGGTTGTATGCTCCTCTGAACAGGTCTCCTTCGCACACGTCGCTAGACAACTCTACAGATGGACAAATGCCAAACTATGCAGATTCACAACGAGATTACACTTGTTGTGGGCGTTATGCCGACCAATCCGAACCGTTGCAGCGGCTGCAAGTGGCAACAACGACAAACAAAACATCGACAGCAACAACAAGTGCAGCATCCGCCGCAACTGCAACAGCGGCGACAGCGACAGTCTAGGAGGACTGCGCTACAGGTAACAGTCCTTGGTGCCTCAAGTCAAAAAAAGTTGCTACATCTAGAGAGGTTCATCTGTCATGAACTGAAGATTTCTGCAGCCAAAGTTATTTATTTATGTTTTTTGCTTAGGCACGTGTGACTTACCTGTAAAAAATTTTTTTTTCAACGACCTACCATTATAAGTATTTCATCAAATAAAATTTTTTTCTAGGAGTTGACCGCATTGAAAAAGTGAATAGAAAACACACTTAACGATGGTTTTACACATCAAATCAATTGGCAGCAACAATTACAGTCATATAATAAAAAAAAATCCAAGTAATTCAAGAAACTACTTCATGGCAGTAAAATGGTTTTTTTTCTGAAACAGCATTTCAAGAAGCAGAGTGGAAGAAAGAGATGTGAAGAAGTAACTGAATAGTCAGTTTCCATCAATAACCACGGTTATTAGAATAAAGGCGTATCAGAAGAGGCAGTATCCGGACGGTTCAGACAAACAACACCAACAGCCTCCGAAGGCCACTAACGTCAGAATGACAACTGACTGTCTGAACAGCCACAACGGAACTGGAAATGCACACTGGCGGGGTTCGTTCCGTTTGACTGGGCCAAATGATCTTAAAAAACCTTCCTTTTGTTTAATTCTTGGATGTTTCAGAATCGATACCAGTGCTTAAACGAATATTTCAGGCGAAGGCAGCGGCTCTGTTCACAAATTCCACACTTTAGAGCTGTCGCCGAACAGGAACACAAGATCTCGTCGTTGTACATCAACAATGCAATTTGCAAAAATAACTCCCACTTGAATGAAATGCATATAAAATTGAAAGACAAAGATGATCTGAAAGTTGAATGCACAACTCTCAACAA